TAATTTCTAACTTTGGAATAGGGAAATCCACGGGGGATTTAAATATCCCCCGCGGGATTTAAATAAACATGCCCGCCGCTTTTTTTCCGGCTTGGGGAAAAGCCGGAAAAAAGCGTCTAGACTGGCGCGATCCTCCGGAATAAAGCCCTTTTCCGGAGGATCTCTTATTCCTATTTCAAAGTAGGATCCTCCGGAAAAGGGCTTTATTCCGGAGGATCGCGCCAGTCTAGACGCTTTTTTCCGGCTTTTCCCCAAGCCGGAAAAAAAGCGGCGGACATGTTTATTTAAATCCCGCGGGGGATATTTAAATCCCCCGCGGATTTCCCTATTCCCAAGTTCAAAATTAGCATGCCCCTTCCGAAGAAGGGGCCAGTGTAGACGTAGCCCAAGAGTGAAAGCAGAACAACGGGCAGTGTATGCTTTGGAGGAAAGTACATGGGGAGGTACCAAACGTGTCATTAGTGCGTAAGATGATATGTAGAGCGCATATCATAGATTGTTCATTTCTGTCTATAAATACTGGGGTACTCTGACTTAATTCTTTGGCCAGCCTAAGAGGCGTTAGTGAAATCCATACTATCAACTGAGTTGCATCCATTGTTCCGGATACAAATACGTCGGGTCTCGAAGGCCATCTGGCTACCGACACTTATTAATGTACTTTGTTCAACAAGAAACCTGACTTGGGTGCTCTGGTGAAGTCTATTATGCTAGCTACCTACACAGAGCTGGCATGATATACTGAAGAAGCCTATGAAAACGCGAGCAGCCAAACGTTTATCATCACTGGCGGAGCAGGAGACCTGTTAGGATGCCACAGCAGTGGACCCTGAATTTACAATACCGCTATCCTAAACTACTGCACTGGGGAGCACGCAGGGCACGTACCCAACTCATTGGAGACAAAGGAGTCAGTCTGCACCCGCTCACAGAACTTGTAGGTCTCGCAGCACACCAGCACAGGCACATTGTAGGCCTTGGACACCAGTGCAATCTGGGATGTCCCCACCCGTGACATGACAGAGCCGTTCGCTAGCAGCGCATGGGCCCCCAGCAATACCTTGGAGACCTGTGGGGAGACAGGGGAGCCAGGTAAATTACCAATTAACAATCAATGGCAAGGCAGGCTCTGCCTCCAGCAACTCAGCAACATCCTCAGGCAGCTGCTCACTCACCTCGGGCAGCACGTAGGAGATGGCAGTGATCATGACATAAGTGCAGCGGATGCCCTCACGCACCAGCCTGCGTAGTGTGTCCCGTCCCTCCAGCCGTGGCCGACTGTCCACCACAATCACTCGGAAGGCACGCTTGGTGTGGGCGTCACATAGTGTGCGGTTCACTAAGGAGGAGCTAACGGCATCACAAGTGAATTCATGGAGCTTAAGGCAGGAAGGGACCATTAGTCTAATCTGCATATCAGAGGTTAGAGAACCGTAGCCAGTTACCCCAACACTGAGCCCAATAACACAATGACAGCCAGTGTGGATCTGACCCATAGCCAGAGGAAGAATCCACCACTGCCTGTGGCAGTTTGTCCCAAAGGCTCATCACCCTCACTTTCTACACTTTTCAACTTCTAATTCGTATCAGTTGCTACTTCACATTTATTTATTTATTTAAATATTTTGACCCCGCCCCTTTATTTAAAATATTCAAGGTAGCTTACAAAAAATTTTCAACAAAATACAAATATATATAAAAATTTAAAATACAAGACCCCAGAGGGACATAAAACCTGCTAAAAATATCGAGAAGAGGAACACACACATACAGACTCAAACACCAATAAAAGCACGAGTAAAAAGGGTGGCTTTAGCCTGACGCCGAAACAATGCTAGTGTTGGCGCCATGTGAATATCCCGAGGAAGAGAATTCCACAGCCTGGGAGCAAAGGCTGAGAAGGCCCTGTTCCACGGTGATGTTAATCTTATCTCTGCAAGTGGGGGAACACTGAGCAGAGCCTCCTCAGCTGACTTCAATCCCCAGGCAGGTTCATATGGGAGAAGACGGTCCTTCAGATACCCCAGACCCAACCAGTTAGGGCTTTATAGGTCCTAACCAAAACCTTAAATTGTGCCCAGAAACATACTGGAAGCCAGTGCAGCTGCCAGAGCACTGGCATAATGTGCTCCATATAAAGAGTATTAGTTAAAACTTGAGCAGCCGCTTTCTGGACCAGCTGAAGTTTCCGAAGGCTCTTTAGAGGCAGCCCCACATGAAGTGCATTACATTAATCCAGTCTGGATGTAACAAAGCATGGATCACTGTGGCCAAGTCATGCTTGTTCAGGAAGGGTCATTACAGTAATCCAGTCGGGATGTAACAAGAGCGTGGATCACTGTGGCCAAGTCATGCTTGTTCAGGAAGGGTCGCTGCTGGCCACCGAAGAAATCTGGTCCTCAAATGTTAAAAAAAGGGTCCAGGAGGACTCCCAAGCTGCGTACCTGTTCTTGCAGGGGGAGAGTAACCCCGTCGAGAACAGGTGCCACATTCCCGAACAGACAGCCTCCTGATCCACTTGTGAAATACTGCTTTTGTATTTCTTACTGCTGCCTTCACTTCCCCACTGACCCGGGATGGGCTAAGAGCCCAAGTTTTCGTTTCTTTTCTGTGACTGTGGAATCATGGGTTTTCAGCCTTCTGATGAATTTCTCTTAAAACCTGATTTCCATTCCCATTTTTCTAAGTTTTCCCTCTAGTCAATTTTGCTGATGAGAAATTAGTCTTTTCAAAGCACCAAGTATATTTCTGGTTGGGATTGTGTAGTTCGCCCACAGTGAATATAAGGAAGGGATCATCTGCCTAGGGAATCTCCCCCCTTACCATCCATAGACCAGGATGACATCACCATCACTGATCTTCTCGAAGGCATATTTGGAGATGGCTTCGGCAGCCAGTTGGATCTTCTCCCTCACGTATTTGTCAATGCTTTCCTGTAGTTTCCCCTTCGCCTGGGGGGACACAATGCCAGTCACTTTGGGGTCTGAGAGCTCTGACATCCTTCTGTTCGGCTCAGCCCACAAGCCCTGCCCTACCCCACAGCTGGCCATGCTCCACACTCCAACAGGGAAGGAACACTCCCATCCCATCCTATCTTGCCACCCCGGATGCCCTGACTGAGCCTCACAGCACACAGAGCCCCGCTGCTCTGGGGGCAGAAGGGAAGAGAACAGGTCTATGCTGCACAATTCAGCCAGGGCAGTGCCCATCCCCCATCTCATCCTCGTGAGCAGGGGGCAGGCTGCCCTGCAAGACACAGGCCTCAGGAGGAAACCTGAGGAAGTTACTCCCTCTCTCTCGCTTACAGCAACTGCCACTGCTGAAGCACCTCCCAGCTAGGAGGCCCCCAAAGCATGCCCCCATCACCCCACCCTTATGGGGAAGAACCAGGAACTGGTAACAGCTGCACAGAAATGCCACCAAATAGTTCAGAGCAGCAGATGAAGAAGGATCCTCTACAAAGCAAAGCAGGAGTTAGCTCAGCCACAGAGAAATGACCAGGCTGGAATCTGGGCAGGCCATGGGAGCTCACAATCTGACACACAGCACACAGCGAGGATATTTAATATGGTAGGGTTCTGCCATTACATCTCAACTGAGCATGACATGGCCTTCTACCAGCATTCCCAGTCAGTTGAGTGCCTGGGCGGCCACCCAGCAGAGATTCAGGTGCCACCAGCTGCGTAGCAGAACGCCCACAGCTGGCAGCCTGTGCTCCTACTGGCAGTGCACGTCTGCACGTGCCTCAGATCCAGAACAGCACCTCTGGGCCCCACTGCTTGTTACAGCTGTGATGGACGATGACCAATTACTCTACCCTGTGCCCTGTTTCCTCGCCCATTTCTCTGCCTCACTCAGTGACAGTATCTGTAGCAGCCTCATGGGCAGGCCTGCCTGTAGCCCGTCAAACGGACAGGCCACGCTGCTGGGGTCCAGCTGTGTCCAGCTCACCTCCTCCTCCCGCAGGGTGCTGGACAGGCCCGAGATCTCTTTCTTGAG